CTCTCCCTCCCCTCCCTCCATCTCCTCCTTTCCGTCCACACATTTAGCCATGTATCAGATCTGCTGCTTCCTTTTTAATTAAATTGGACCAGGTTACTCATCCTCCCAGGGATGTGCTTGTTATGTTTGAAGTCACACAGGGTGTGGGTTTGGATTCGCCTTCTGACATTTTCCTGGTGTCTCTACTAAGGAAAAAACTAGCACAAGGCCATTTCCGGGACCCAATTCTTCGTTTGAAGTTCTAATAGTGGCTTCATGTGGTGGCTGGGGACGTGGAGAAGGTTGGGTTTGGTAGCCTGGCAGGCAGTTACCCTTTAAAGCCAAAAGGGGAAAAAAAGCCCTTTAGGAAAATATTGATTCCTAAGTGTTTAGTAGTAACAGATGTTTGTGTCAATGGGCCTTTTGTTCGGGATACAGCCCAGCAGGAGGCCACTCCGGTGGGAGGATCCTACTCCCAGCTCCTGCGTTTTGTTTGTAGAGTGCGACTTGCAGCACTTGTAGGATTACTTCTTGCCTTTTTTCCATTTTTGTCTCTCTCTGCTTTGCTCCTTTGCTTCACTTCTCTGAATAGTTGTTTATCTGAAACCTCCAGTCTAGGCCCCAGGAGCACTGTGGTTGCTATGGCAACAGAAGCTTTCATCCTGCCCCCTCTGGGCTACAGCCAAGAGTTTGGATTCTGCAGTCAGACAGGTGGGAAGGTGGCCATCCAGGAATCGCCCCCACTTCAGATGGCAATTAGATGGCAACCCCCAAGGCCAGTGTACCTCCTGGGCAGGAGCCAGCTGGACTTGATTCCCTGTTCTCGACGTTTTTAAATAAACACCCCACTCTGCAGTGACTGCCCGTGGAGGCCCAGGTGTGAGGGAACCGGAGGCCCAGCCTGACCCTGGACCCGCGTGTTCGTGCTTCAGGGCAGCGTGGGGTGGCTGCTTTTCCCTCGGCGAAGTCCCAGCTCACACACTCACACTGCCAGCAGCGCTGACTCATCCACTGTCGGGAGAGCCCGAGCCAGAGCTCTGCAGTCCCCACCGGCACCTTGTTCCCGCATCTGTTCACTCTGCTAGTGGACAGCTCCACCCACGCAGGCAGGGGCCCTGCGCATCCGAAGCTTCTACCTAGCAGGGTCGCTGCCCTGTGCACAGCTACTTACAGTGCTGAGAGAAACAGGGCGAAGGGAACACAGTGGTTTATAGTGAGGAGTTGGTAATGGCTCTGGGGGAGGCTCAAAGGCCCTGAGGTAGGAAAGGGCTTGGCATGCTGGTGTGGAGGGGCAGAAAGGAGGGCAGTGTGGTCGGGAGGGCAGGGAGAACAGGTAGGGGCCAGGCTGAGGGCCTTGCTTCAAGTGCAAGGAAGCTGCCCCAGGGCCTTGAGCAGGGAAGGCTCACGCTCTGTCCTGTGGGTTCACATGCTGCTCTGGCTGTTGCGTGGGGTGGATGCAGGCAGCTTACAGAGAGGAGGAGCTGGGTTAGAATGCTGCAGTCGCCACAGAAACTGTCCTGGTGGTGGCAGTGACAGGCTCAGGAAGCAGGCCTATTTGAGACATGTTTGGCAGTGGAACTGGCAGGTCTCAGGTGGACTGAATGTGGGGAAGAGGAGATGAGAGTGGCCAGAATGGTTTGTAGGCTTCTGACTTGCGTGGCTGGCAGGTGATAGTACCATGTGGTGAGACAGCACAGACTTTGAGAGGGGCAGGCTTTGGAGGAAAAAAGATTTCCATTTTGCATGTATTCAAGTTGAGATGCCCAAGTAGCTGTTCAATATGGAGAACTCAGTGGGGTCTACAAGTGAGGAGCTCATTGGAAAGATTAGAACCTGTGGCCTATAAATACTTTAAAATCTGAGCACCTTGAAATCACCAGGGATAGAGGAGTGTGAGAGAAGGGGTTGGAAGGAAGCTGAGGAGCCAGCAGAGGAGCTGGGGGAATTAGTGTAGAGAAAATGCAGACACCAGCAGCCGGGAAAGAACGTGAAGAAGGCGGGCGTGGGTGTGGGATGCTGCAGAGGGTGTGAACGGGAGGGAGAGAGGTGGGGCCATGTGCAGAGGCTGTGATCTTGACATGCGTGCACTTATTTATGGGGGGGGGCATAGCCATGTTGGGGTTGGTAGGAGAGTGGATGGGTGGTCAGGAAGTGGAGACAGTGTGTATGGACTTTGTGAGGAGGTTGTGCTCAGAGGGGAAGGAGCTGAACGTCAGAGAGGTTTGTTTTAGGGCGGCTGACACAGGCACCTGCTCCTATGCAACTGTGTAATAGCTGTGCCGACCCTGTCACCTCTCGGCTGGGTTTCTTCCTTCTCCAAGTGTCTGAGTCCCTCTGATGCCTCAGTTCTGCATGACCACAGCCCTGGGGGTGGGGGGTGGGCATCATGATTAACGCCAGGGATGACATGTGTTTCCAGCTTGCAGCAGTCAGCCTGCATGCTGGGAAGTCTGCACACAGGTGAGGGTCTTACTGCTACTCCACGGGGCTGTGGGCAGCCCAGCTTTGCCTTCGTGTATGGAGCCTGGAGGAAGAAGACACTTTTTAGACCCGTGTGCTAGAAGGCTTACTGTGGCCTGTATTTCCCTTTGTTTTTGTATTCAGAAATCATATTTGCCTAAATTTAGGCTAACCGTGAAATGACTGCATTTGCAAGACTTGTTGCACA